TATCCATAACCTTGGAGCAATGTCCTCCTGGTGGTGTTGGTTACTCACGGTTTGTAAAAGATTTTATTCATTATATACAGCTGAAGGTCATAAAAATGGGATAATTTTGAAAACATATGAGTCGTATTTATTTCTGATAAAAATTCACATAAGTCATAGGTACATACAAAATCGTGATGCTTAGTTTATGTTACATAAAGGAATCGATTAAGAGGCTGTTTCATGATCCCTGCTAACCGAGATTCAGTGAGGCGTGAAATGATTTCGAGTCATTGAAAGGAGGCAAATCTCAAGCGTAAAAATTGTTTGTTACGTAAGCGCCACAAGCCATTCCTGTTCTAATTCTCACATTAGGCCAAATTGGTTGTTTTAATTTTAAAAGTTTTGCGTAGTTATTAAATCAGAATATTTTGAAATTGCTCAAAAAGATTTATCTAATGATAATTATTGAATCGTTTCCATTTGTCGAAATCATTTAACGCTTGGCTGAATCCTGGCTATCCGGGCTCATGTAATAAGCCACTAATTAAAATGTATGAAACATGTTTAAGGTTGGTTTAAATTCTAAAATTGTTCGTTAAGCCGAAGTTGTGTGAAATTCTGTACGTGCACTATCGTAGGGATATTTTGTGAGAAAAAAGAAGAAGAATTTTTTAAATCAAAACTCCCAATCGAACCATGTCTTACGACTCTCGAGACTTTGATTTCAATTGATTATAAAAATATATTCTAATTTTTTCTGCGGGCATTACCTAGTTTCTTCTTATGTTATTATTTGGAGAGGGCCTGGGGTCGAGATGGTATTATCAAATTATGTTGTCTAAGCTTTGCTATGTGCTTCTAAATTTTGACCGTGTAAATTTCAGATTTAGTATAACGACTGCTCTTGGAGACAAAATTCCTGTCATTGTGAAGTACCTTTGCGATTGCGATTGCTCAAACAATACAGTAAGTTGATATGTATAAATCAATATTCTTTTTTTGATAAGACTGAGGAAATCATAAATCGTTCAACATTCGAAATGTTTTGGGAATAACCATGAAGTACGACGTTATTTTTTCATGAAGGTTCACAACGCTACTGAATGTAGTAAACAAGGAAGTATTACTTGTGGTGATTGCAAGTGTAACGATGGATTGTAAGTATGTTTTATTATAAAGGCAAATTTATTTGTACTTAATGATGGGCACATTTTATAGGGACAGTAGCGTTTTATATGTACCTACTTTTTAATCTAAAATTCGTTGTCTACTGCATTATGAAAGCCATGCAGTACTCATACAGCAATTTTTTGTTATCTAAATTAAAACTGTGTTGAATTGAATAGTTATTATCAATGCCATGATATATTGCAGCCTTGGAGATAAATGCGATTGTGCTGACTCTAAAAAAGAAGAAAACAGTGATTTGTGTAGAAAAACGTAAGTTTCATATTTTCTTAAATCTCTTCTATTAGCTTGCAATCCACACCTTTGATCTCTGGCTCGACCGATCTGATCTCTTGCTCCATGAATTGACATCGGGTTTGACGGATCTGATCTCGGGCACGACGAATCTGATTTCAAACTTGATAGATCAGATCTCGAGTTCAGTGGTTTTACTCTTGGGTATCAACGGAGTTGCTTTTGAATTTCCCAAACTTTTAATCCGTTCACAATGAAGTTTAAATGCATGAAAATACATTTTGATTTATGAATCTTCTGTAAGGAATACATCGAGTATCTGCAGTGGAAATGGCCAGTGTGCTTGTGGCAAATGTATTTGCAATAAGGTAAAATTACGTAGGTGAAAAAAATATACTTGTTTCGTTGTTTGATGTTAATGAAATGATTGAGTCAAACTTAAATTATCGTTTTAGGGGAAAAGTGGTGCTCGTATAAATGGGAAATTTTGTGAATGTAACGATGAATTTTGCGATATTGCAGATAATGGAGAGCGTTGTGGAGGTAAAATGAGGCTATGTCTATAGGTACATGTTGATCCATGTCGGTACATGTTGGTACATGTTGGTAGCTACTTATTGGTTACTTCTGTCTGCTATGCCAACTGAAAATAACATGATGAGCAATACACCAATGTTTACTTTCTCCTTTTCTTGGAACTCTGAATTTCAGTATTTTACATATGTAGGGTAAGATGGGGTAGGATAGGCTATAATAGGATTAAACATTCTTGTGAACGTTGACTTTCATTTACTGTGCTGTAAATTGTCTTTTTTTAACTATTTTCGTATTTTATCATAAAATAAGGTAAACCTTTAACCTTATTGTCAACCATTCAGGTGTTGAACGCGGAGAATGTAAATGTGGTCGTTGTAAATGCAAACCTGGTTGGGAAGGTTCATCTTGTAGTTGTCGGAATATTACATCGCCTTGTGTTCAAAATAACGTAAGTGTATATTTAATAAACAATCGCAGCCAGATTTGGGGAGTCCCAATGGGAACGTAAAGTGTTTTTTATTTGTGAATAGCTGCAGAAAATCAAGCAGTTTCCTCATGAATACTCCGTTCTTCTTAATACTCCGCGTTAATTACGAATTTATTGCAGGTCACATGTTCTGGTCATGGTAAATGTCTGTGTGGGAAATGTGTTTGTGACCAGAAATATTCTGGAAAGTTTTGTGGTACCTGTGAGGTAGGTTGTCATCAAAGCGTACACTCCATCAAAAAAGGAATGGTCTTCCTTCATTGCGTTTCGTCATTTTTTAAATAGGGATGTATTAAAGGCTGTTCATTTTACAAAGATTGTGTGCGCTGTAAAATATATCAAACTGGTCCTTTGGTGGGGACGTGTGAAGAAAGATGTAATACTTCAAAAATAAATAACGTTCCCGATGTCAAAGCATGTAAGAAACTATACTTTTGTGTATTTTCAATTTGACTTTTAATCTTTATATGGGGATGACAGAGAACAGTTACTTATCGTAGATTTTTTCATTACAACAAATAATTATTTTCACTACTCGTTTGTTTTCTTCAGTTGATTTCTTTTGAGTTAACCTTTGTTTACCATTATTTCCAGATGAATCGCGAGGAACAACTTGTGTTGAACTTGACGAAGATGATGATTGTACGTTCTCTTACATTTTGAACGAAGGAAATGAGAAAGTTGAGATTTTGCCGAAAGTGAAAACGTAAGAACAATAAAAGTCATTGATCAGTTATTATTTATTATTATTTAAAGATCCAAAACGCTTTTTTTTAATATTCAATGTTTTTTCATCAGTCATTAGAGAGCGCTTACCTGTAAACGTGATCTAACTGCGATTCACTTACCAGACTGCCATAAGTAGTTTTTTATTTTCAAAACTCATAAATATGATTGCTGTGGTATAAGTAAATGTCTAAAATATCAAGATTTCCAAATTCTTGGTGTGTTAATATTTGTTTTGTCGGTTTTTATATGAATTATGTCCAGCTAAACAATGATCATGTTTACTATACTTCGTTTAACCAGCATGCAGCAGTTATCCTAGACAGGTTGCACGCCCCCTCTTTTTGCAGTAGGTAGACTAATAAATAAATGGATGCACAGGTTATACCAAAGTTGTAACTTATTCAAATATTTTTGCTTTAAATCGGCATTTTGAAGATGGTTTACTATCTTGCCAGTAGTGTGCTATCAGAAAAACTGTTCAGTGAGGCAGTTTATGGAAAGCAAAACTGAAACCTGAACAAAAGAACGGTCTATTATTTATAACCAAAAACTAGATATAGTCATACATGCTGAAATTTAGAACTAGCATTTATTATAGTATCTGTAGTTCATATTCGTATTTAGTTTTTTGTGAAATAAGGATTTTAGCGTCAACTATGTTGCGTCTGTTCAATGTCCTTTAAGCAAGACAAGAACATTTCAGGAGAAAGTTTATCATCAGACAGTTTTACCTTGATGATAAATAGACAAACTTGCTTTATGAACTATAATGATGATCAAGTCGAGAACATGATTTTTATGTTCATGTGCTTGTGAATATTGTGTTATGCCTAATTTAAATTGAGTTATTGCATGGCGACAAAATATTCCATTCTCGTATTGACAATATGCTGATACGTTTAAACTACTTGAAATAATTTTTTATTCTCGTTATTTTAGGTTGTCCTCGAGAAGAAGGATATTTACTAATAATCATTGGAGTTATTTTGGGTATTGTTGCTATTGGTGCCGCTTTACTTCTCATTTGGAAGTTACTTGCAACCATACAGGTATGCATTTATAGCATTTAGTTGTGTATTCTTGAGGAAGCTTTGTATGTGTGTATATAATAGACCACCGAGCCTATTCAAGGGGTAACAGGAAAACTGACTCGATACGAAGTACGCTGACTTTTATTTAAATAATTACATACTTATCCATGAAAAATGTATCTCTTCTGTCATTGTGTGTGTGCACACGACATCCTCAGTCACAGGCTCATTTGTATGTATGAATTTGTATGTGTTGTAATTTTTACTGTGAATGTTTAAACAAACGAAGACTTATAAGATTTTAGATACCATGTAGAATTATACACAACAACCTATAAGCTTTTGTGCATATGTGTGTATCGTATATTTACTGTGTATAAAATAATCAACATGTGTATGTTTTAGTACGTTTTGTTCTATGTACGTATTTGTGCATGATATGCAACCCACTGCAGTACATTTGAAAGTGAAACAAATTTGGTTTTGATCGTGTAAGTGGTTTTATTTTCTATCAGGATCGTCGCGAATTTGCCAAGTTTGAACGTGAACAACAAAATGCCCGCTACAATACAAGTGAAAATCCTATATACAAAACTGCCACAACAACGTTCCAAAACCCAACTTATGGTGGCAAAGGTTGAATCAAGATGATTTTATAGTTTGGTCTTATTCGATATTTTAAAACAAACATCAGACACGTTTATTTTGATATAAATACTATATATAATTACTGTTCGAGTATATTTTTAGTGTTTGATGACAAGCATATTGTAATTTTTATGCTCTTATAAAGTAGATCAGATTTGTCGACTTGTCATTTCGCTCTGTTTCAAGACTGTCTGTTAAATTGATCAATGTTTTACTATGGCCACACAGCACGTTAAACTGAGACAACAGTTTAGTAAACACTGTCACACGAATTTTTTCTTAGAAACAGACGTCTTAAAAACATCGAATGTAGTTCTTGATAGTGGCCATTTTTTATTCTAGCGCAACTGTCATTGAGTTTACATTAATTAGTTTTCAAAGGTCTCAACTTCCAAAATCAAGAGACTGAACAAAACCAAGTTGAAACACAAACCACAGTAGTCAGAGAACTATAAAAATCAATGTTATTACGTTTAATGGTACGTTTACACACAACGATATTGTTATTTTATGCATAGTATTGAGACGAACTGTAATTACCTAGCTCTGTATCGTCCATCATTTCTGTGTGAACGTATATGGGGTGTCTTATAAAATATGGCCAAAAGTTTTATCTGGCATAATGTGGTGAAATTCTTATCATTTCCTCATATTCTGCCTTAGCAAAGTCGGTGTATGAATACGAGTGACATCAATTGTTTTTGAAAGTAGAGAAATTGAAATAATTACAATACAGAATATTAGTGATTATTAGAAAGAGTCAGTGTTCAGCTTTGCAGGCAAACAAAGAGTTCAAGTGATTTCGATATTAATCTCACACCACATAAAAGAAGCTACACAAGAGCAATTACCAAAGTTTTCCACAGTTGAATCAATTAACAAATGACAATGAATCATAAATAAAATCATACTTTTTGAACTGTCATAGTATAAGGCGCATTTATGAGCTATATATTAGTTGTTTTAACAACAGTAATAGAAGACCATTGATTTACGAAACAAAATTATATTATTCAACCATTGTTCCCATGTAAAGAAAGCTATGTGCGTGAATCTATGATATTCCTATTCGTTGTGCGATTTAAGATGGATTACGTTTGGTGTACATCACACTGCCACTGAGCACCACACATTTTATATCTAATCCTATCATCTATTGTCTGCTTGGTTACAAAATAACAAATTTAATCTGCCGTTAAGATGGTCAATGATGCGTTGCTCTAATAGCTGTTGCTATGGTGAATAGAAGTGAAAAAATTGATATGAAGATCTCTTCTCAAGGGAATTTTTCTTGAATTTTACATTTTCTGTGTATCCATAAAACATCGTTATTTATTCAAGTTAGCACCCAGAGAAAAATAAAAAAGAAAGTCATAAAAGTGAAAGTGATCTCCAAATGTTACCTGTGTTTCTAAAATAATGTCTTAATTGATCATTGTAAATAACTAAATGACCTACTCTTTGAAGTTGCTTACTGTGTACTGCAATAAACTGTAAAATTACTATACATGTCTGAGTTTACTGACAGTTTTGTGACGTTAGTCAGGGCAGGATTAAGGGGAGGGCGTTATGGCCGATTGTAATGGGCCCTGCGGTTTTAAGGGCCCCGTGTAGAGGAAATATTTTTAAAAGAAATGTTGCTTTTGTGTGGCAAGAGCAATACAAAAACCACAACACGAAAGATCGGATTTTTTAAAATAAGACTGCATTATATAAACAAAATTTTGAGTGCTTTCATTAAACGTGAACGTGGCGTTTTACTACAAACTATGGATGGGATCAAATTTTATGCCAGTAAAATACATCGTAAGAAACGTTGGTCTCGTCATTGTAAGAAAATCATTGTTGAAAAACAACCTTAATGTAAAACGCTTTAGTTAAACAGTCTTCGTAAATATTACAAGTTTAATTGCATATATTTTGTTTAATATAACCTAGGAAATTATTACTTTTTTATAGTTTTTGTGGATAAAATATGTCAGTTGGGGGACGGGGAAGCGAGGTTTTGGACCGGCAGGGAGGGGGGGGGGCGGAAACTTGATCCGCCCTTGTTAATGACTGCCCGACTGGCACTCTGATTTTGTCAAAGTCTGTTAAAGTTGGAAAAAGGGATGGAATGCTGAGTAAGTCATGAAACCTCTGTCGTACTTATTGGTGCATATTTATTTGAAAGATTTATGAATTTGATATGCCGTAAAAACCATAGAAACTCACTAACCATACTCAAATCGAGAAAGATTATCATTAAAATGTTCAGAAATATGTCAGCTTTTAATTTGAGAATGACTCCTTTCTAGTTTAAAAAATTTGTAATGTTTGTTACGTTTGAAATACAATGAAGGATACTTTTAGTAAAAAAAGGTTTTCATGTTTTTTTATTGTGTATAGGACTGACTGTTTACAATTGTTGATATTCAACCTCATTTTTATTTGGTTGATACGAGTTATTGCTTTATGCCTATGAACCTCATTTAAATAAATGTAAATTAAACAAGACCGTACTAGACTATGTCCATGTCCATGCAGACTAATCTGACATACCTCCAAAGTTGAAGACTCGTTGTCATACCGTACTCCCTATTGGGCAAACGGAAGTAAGATTTCAGCCAGTTTTAGCAGAAAGGAGCGCAATAAATGTGTATGATAAATTATTTTTTTACTTTCAGTTTATAACAATGTGCAACGTAAATATGGATGTAATAATCTCATTGCAATAGTATTGTGGGAAAGCCGTCAATTAGAGACGGGATGTTTATTAGAGAGAGGCGTCTCACATAATCTTTATTTGACACGAGACTTTTGTTTGATAGACAGGCGGCGATTATTGGCTCATTTACGGGGCGGTAAACTGATATCGACTTCTATCGTACTTCTAAGTTTGAACTATATTTCCAAGAATGTCATCAGCAAGTTCCCGGATAGTCTTCATTTTCACTTTCTGAGGCCGGGGTTAAGTATTATTACTGATATGCAGTTGTTAGACAATAAATTTTTGATGTATTTTACTGTTTTTGAGGCCTGCGCTATACGGACGAATTTAATTCACACGAATTCAAATATCGCAATTTTATTCGACGATACTGCGACGTATAACTTGGAAACTCACATCTCATAAATTAAATTCGACAAAGTGAATTAGATTCGTCGGAGATTGACGCATTATGCGACACAAATGGACGATGAACTGAAGTCGCATTGAATTAAATTCATTAATTATATAAAAATATTTCAACCAATCATACACAGCGTTTTATTTCATGGCGGCAATTCAGCAGAAATAGTTATGAAACAATATGGCGGATGCAGATTGTTTTGTTTGTGATGAGCCAACAAAATATCGTTGTATAACTTGTAACCTTCCCATTTGTAATGTATGCTACGTGGCAGAATTAGATGAAGATACATTCGGATGGTTGGCTCAAGTGAGCGTGGGTTATTGTAATAAAAGTGCGATCGACAAGCGGGTAAATAAGCCAAAACATATTGATCAAGTGAGCTGAACCATAAGTAGATTGAAAAAGAAACAAATTAATTCAGGCCAGGAAAATGCTAGTAAAATCACGATGAGATAGAAAGCAGCTCTGATAGTTCTGACAGTTCTTGCAAAACCAGGCAAAAGGTTAAAACAAAGAGACGTGGAAGAAAGGCAGCTTGGAAAGATCGTCATGTTGATGACCTTGTTGATGTAATCGTCATTGACGAAAACTTCAAGAAAAATTTAATTTTACTAATATTGAAAAGAAAAAAAACACTGAGGTTTGCCAACGTGTTTTGGAAGTTCTGCAAAAAAGATATTCAGAAAAAGATCCAGCTTTCATCTTTCCATTTGATGTCAAACAATCAGAATAAAATTCAAGTGGTGTGTTGCCATTTGTAAGAAGATGTGCCTTACAATACGAATCGTCACCGGCATTAAACGGATCCAGGATGAAAAGGGTTACAGTAAGTGGTTTACTTTGTTATACCCTCTGATAAAGTCTTGTGACTCTTGCCAGCCTGAGCAAGCGATTGAACCTGATGCTGTTATAGAAATAGAAAATAAAATAACTTAGAACATGATTTTGGAGTTGATGTTGACAGTGGACCATCAAGTGGGTCAAACTTTTCTGTGGCAAAAAAAACCACATATAAGAAAAAAAGAAACTCTGAGTTATTGACTGATGCAATATTAGAGTCAGGTAAAGTTTTAAAAACTGCTGTGGAAAATGATCCCACTAAGAACATAATAATTATCATTAGAGAGGAAATGCAGCAATTCAGAGAGCAAGACAAAAAATTTATGGAACAAATGGCAATTATTGTTCAACAAAATTTACATCCAGGCTCATCTCAAACTTATCTTCAAATCCCACTGTCTGCTTATGACTGTACAGTTGGACACTTTACAAATACCAATCGGGGCTTGGAATTCATTTGATCATCAATCAAATGCAAGTGCACAACAACAAACATCTAGCAATGGGGACATGACATGGAACATGTTTAATAGCCCTCGTACATATCACCATTTATGACACTGTTTTTGTATTTTAATTTCTTTACAAATACTTTATTTGAACACAAATTGAGAAACATTCTTTTGTTTTTTTAAATATGACTGTTTTGTTACTGTTTTTGTAAGAAGATATTCTTTTATGTTTAAGAGAAATATGAGAATGAACAGAACATTACATTTTACTATGGCTGCATGAAGCGTATCTTACAAGTTCTTCAAGTGTAATAATTCACTAAAAAATCCTAAACATAGAATACTTCTGTTATGACCCTCACCTAAACATTCAGTTATCTCTAATAAAGTCCATAGTGCATAGAATTTCAATGAAAACAAAGTAAACATTCCAATTTAATGCCTTGCGCATTGGCATAAACTGGCTAGCCAGTTTGGTCATGCTAAAAAAATATCATCTGGCTCCCTCCATGTAAATGACTTCTACACAAATAAATATTACTAATGATCTATAATTTATATAGCACAACCTGGTTTTGCCACTGAGCAATGGTAATAAATTGCTATGTTTACGTGCTGCTTGTACCAGAGGTTTTTTCTTTCCATAAATATTCAGAAATTGATGAACGAATCTGTTCAGCTTTGTTGCATGTGTCCCTAGTCTTTTCACAAGCCCTCATTTTAAGAAAATCTCTAACTACTGCTCTATCTCTTTGCTGATA